TCGGGACGGTAGATCCCGGGGGGTCGGGACAGTATTGGTTATATCTCCACGATCTAATCACCACACGCGTTTTACATTTTTTTTTACTAATTTACATGTCTGGTGACGGGCGAAATTATTGATGGTAAAGTTTTTCTACTCGAAAAATATATTTCTAGGGTTGTTAAAAAAATATCACAATACACATGTACGACAACTCGCATAAAGAGTTATAATAATTTTGAAAAGAAAGAACGAAATAAATGATTGGAAAGAAATGCATCACAATCTGTTTTGCCCTCCAATGTCACAATGCTAGTGTAAATATGATACTAAAAATATCGGAATGAAAAACAGAAAAAAGCACATTCCCCTCGAACATGAAAATAGATAAGTCGCGATAAATAACAAAATACTATCAAACCCATGATATATATATATAAATAATCATATATATACAGAAATGTTAACGCATGTTTTATACGTCTTTGGGGGTAAATTTAACATGTGACGTCACTGTAATTAACTCACCTGTGAGATACCTGTCGCATCTGTTAGTTGGGAAGATAAGTAGGAGAGACGGGTAAAGTGTCAGAGATGTCAGCATCCTAATAAATAGGTGATATAAGCATTCTAGGGTTCTTTAGTATCTTCACAATAGGATATAAGTAATAAAAGTTCTGAAACGTGCATCATAGAATTTCGTTTGCTTGTGTTAAGTTTCATATAAGTGTATGTTCTGTTAAGAAAAAAAGAAAAAAAAGGTTTACAAACCTTTGTTTAGTAAGTCACTAATAAAATTATGATCACGTTAATTTATTATAAGGCAATTGGTAAAATCTTGCTTAAAATAATTATACAAAAAAACTATATATTAGACATTTGAATTCGAATTTAAAATTGCATCAATCTTGGAAGAATTCATTCTTTTGATCTGATGCCGACACAAATTAAGAATATATACGGGTAATTATATTAATTAATCTAAGCTTTTCCATCAGTGATTCGTATGAAAATTTTATCAGAGGATTATCGAATTGAAAGCATATGGATTATCGATAATTGATGACTACGGACATATGTACCGTGATACACAGATCACAGAGGCCCGCCCCCTCGGGACGGGAGATCCCGGGGGTCGGGATCAGTATTGGTTATATCTCAACGATCTAATCACTACACGCGTTTTACTGTTTTTGGCTAATTTACATGTCTGGTGACGGGCGAACTTTTTAAAAAATAGTTGAAGCTATTTTTCCTTCAATAAAACAAAAGTTTTACTAAATATTTGTATTTATGATAACATGGAATAACATGTTATAAATGAGGAAAACCTCTCCGCCAGGAAGATATTTAATAATTTCGTACATTAGCAATTTTTTAACGAAGAAAGATGCATTGTCGATTTATGAATTTATATAATTGTTTGATGTAATTTATATATTTTAGAAATTGATGATGATGATTAGGAATCAAATCACACAACTTCACTTATAAGCTAATTCATATAGATGTATCTACATTTAGATATTGTACTTATAGTTGCCCTAATAAAGAATACGGTAGAGAATGTTTCCGAGATGTATTGTTTTAGGATAATACTAATGTTTTCAATCTCTAGTATTCCCGTTAATACCAATACAAAAAAAATAAATTTCGCAATTATTACAACAATTTTATTGTCAGCCGCTGTTTATATTTCTACTACATTCCACCATCAAGTCTATGTATTTATGATCACATTTTATACTTTCAAATTATATTGAATTGTTTCATAAAAATATGCACATTTGTATTTCGAAGTTAATGTAATACATAATAAAGTCATATGTTCTGCCTGTGCGCTGCCGATTTTCAAAGTACTTATTGCTTTCTTAACCATTTTTTTTCATAAAATCTCATTGCTCGAATTTAAAATAAAATAACATTTTATTTAAATTCCGTTCTGTTTTATGAAATTGAATTTGCAGTCCATAATGCACTAACAAAACACCATTATCATTTTTAATGATGATACAAAAATATCATTTGATAAAGTTAAATGTCCGAATAATAATAATTGAAGGTTAAAGTTCCAATGTATAACAAACATTTAAAAACCATTATACTGATTTAAATTACTGCCTCCTTAAAAATACAGACAATATCACAATAACGTAGATCGTCTGGCCTTGAAGTATCTCTTTAGAATTTACTCATACCGGATTTATATCTCCTTAACATTCTCTACTTATCACCATTTTTCGGTTCCCGACTGTTGTTTTGGAGTTGAAACAATTCACTTGTACACTTACATCGCGCAAAATATACAGATCCTTGATCAATTTCCCGTCAAAAGAGATCATAAAATTTCCGTAAACGGTTGACCGAATCCTTGTTTCTTCTTGTTGACCTCATAAAGTATCCTTTTTTTTAATTACCGCGCATTCATTGAATTATAAACCACACACGTGTAAACAAAAACACTATATTTTTTTTGTTAACTCTGTGTAAATGGTCTTAAACACTTCACTGACGGTATAGGGGCCTGGATTTTTGTATAGGAATTTCCACAAGTGCCCTCTCCTTCCAGAAATCCTAGACCACCACTAACTTAAACCTTTTTATTTCGAAGACTTGATATTTGGTATTAGCTTCTGAAGGTTTAAGCAACAAACGTTAAAGTTCAAATACATTATACTCTTTCTAGTAGTTCCCGATTGAACGAAAAGCGTAAAATTAAACAATCCTTCATTTCTATATTGAAACTGAAATTATTTGATGTTCCCACATCAAAAGTCAGTCCGACCATGTGTCATACCAACTTGTAGGGAAAACAAAGGGCTTTTTCTGGAGACCTGTAATTATTATCTTATTTATGGGGAATTTTTATTGAACTTTCAAAGTGCTTGTCGGTGTAGGTATCAGATGTCCCTATCTACAAGGAGGGGCATGTATCGATATCTCCAGGGAGGGGCGGGCACATGTGAGAACAACGTTGTTTGAAAAGTAACGAAAGTAAAATGGAGATTATCTGCACATTTTGTTTCCAAGCGCCTTATCTACACTGAAGTAAGGTTACCTGACATGGATCATACGGAACGTTTGATCTGAATGACGAATCATTGCTAAATTAAATATAGGTTTGTTTCATCTTCGTCTCTATTAGAATGAAAAGTCAGTAAATATTTGAGTTCAAATCAATAATAAATTGACTTGAAAAAATGATGACGTAATTTAATTTTAATCATTTATATCATTTCTAAGATGTATTAGAGTCAACTTCCTGCTTCTTAATGTTTCAAGACATATCCCCATATTTATTTAAATCTAACACACAAGCAAGCGATAACTCGCTAACCACAAAGTCCCGAAAAAGGGAACTGGACCATCTATTCCCAAAACAATATACCAAAGAACTTGAACAGTAAAGCGTTGTCTCTTCAGACTAGGTTTGGAATTTGATGCTCCTGAAATAAAATAAAATATATCAATTTTCCCCCTTAATCTCTATATATAGTCTTCCCGGCAATAACGTTATATCACTGTTGATACAGTTTCAACTGTTTTAGAGGATTTAATTAATATTCAGCTTTCTTTTCGATAGAATAGTCGGAGATAGTCTTTATGTTTTGCTAAATGGGTTGTACCCACTTACGATATAGTAATATTATTAAAAGTATTAGTTTTGCAATGGAACAATGACATCAGTACACACAAAGACCAACTTTTTATTAAGCTGCAGTATTGTGCTGAAAACCAGGGCCCGTATTCATGAAACTGTTATTATTCCACAAGCATTGGATTCTGTGCTCAAACCGACTTTTTTTGTAACTCACTTCAATCATGGAAAACAATCAAAAAGTCAAATGTAAACATCGAAAACAGACTTCGGCTTTAAGTATCTTCATATTTTACCAAAACACTAACAAGATTGTTTTTATTAGTTTATAGCCGGAACAAGAAATTAGGATTGAGCACAAAATCCATGCTTGAGCATAAGTACGAGCCCAGCTTACCCTTGCAGTAGAAACAAGTTTATCATAGTTGTTTGATTTTTTGTTGGGGAAAATTTGAGCAAGTAATTAATCATATAAGTACAAGTTTACTTAAAGATGCGTTACATTTTCCCAAGTTTAGCCTGACCTCCTGTATCAGGTCTTGGGTAGTTCAGCCTCCATAACGACCTCATCAGAGGTAATTAACTGTATAAGGTCGGCCAATGCTACAAACGAGCAATTGTCATGATATACACATCAGACGGTATACGGGGATGGTCGACGTGTTACTTACGTATCTGACGTGGGGTTGGGGGAGGAAAAGAGGGGGAGTGGGGAGGTTCTCCCCAGACATCAAAGCCGCACCATGGACATTTCATATTTACATAGATAGTTGTGAAGCAAACACACTGGGCTATCATTGCTTATAAGTTAACGCCAATAAAATATCCGTTTACTGTCATTTAAAAGCGATCCGTACTCGCTTAGTGCAGAGCACCCTATTTAGGGACTACATGCTCATATTTATGGACTTTCTCCGGTTCATATTCATGTTTATTTATTTCGCTGGGTTGTGAGTGTTGTAAAGTGTTTTTTCTATCGAATAACTTTTTTTTATGTAAGGTACTTTTAAGAATGTTTAACAAGTACAGGAATAAGAATATTTTCTTTCAAGTATACAGAAATCCAATTTTCTTTGATTTACGTTCAGAAAATAATATAGTGATATAAAATGAAATGCTTTTGAATAATCCACAGGTAAACAGATTGTTTTACGAGCTAATCTGTTCCTTTTCAACGTAAAGCTATATGTTCTCGTTCACTTGTACCTGGCCAGGGGCGGAGCCTAATCTCATTAAGCGCGACTACAAAGGCGCCGCGTGTTGACCTTTCCCAAGGATACCTGCTGTCGCGTCCAATCAGAACGCGCGAATTGGTGTGCCAGTAGGTGGAGGCGGGGCTTTACCAAATATGGAACACAACTTACCATAAAGCACATGCGAGCTTATAAATAGTCAGACACTAACAGGTGTATAACAAACACAGACATAAACTGATATAAATAACAGTGGTCAAATTAACAGCTAGTAAATCAATATTTAAGCCAAAAAGTGGGACTATTTGGATACATTTCTTCGGAATTATATTGCCTCTGAAAAATCCGGTTACCTGAACGACAACATTTATTGTTGTCAGGATTTCTAGATATTAGAACCAGGACATCATTTCCGTGTGTATTTCTATTCGGACTTTTGTGGTACAATCTATACGTGATAAAGCCAGGTTGTTGGAGTTTGACGTTTGGACTTTCGTGTAACGATGCCTGTACTTTGTCAGGAGAATAATATGTTTCCCACCGGTCGTCATCCCTCCCCTGTCACCAACTACACTTACGGACATTTCCCCGGGTACCAGGGCACACAGTACACGCCCCAGGCCCAGGACTTCTCTCAGTATGTCGACCCTAACACAGCCTTCCAGCAGCAGTACATGTACGGGGGCACGGGAACCAGCCCGTCCGTAGCCCGACCCCAGGGGATGGATGACTGGATGAATTACTCTGGGATGCCCACCACCTCCTCCCACAGCCCGCAGTCAATGCACTATTCGTACCGCCCCGGGGGTATGGAGTACAACCAACATCAGACTTCCCTGCCCCAGGGAAACCAGACACTTACCATCCTAGGGAGTTCCCCTCCGTCCGAGGGGTCCCCCACCTCTACCACCTCCTCCGGTAGTTCGGAATCACCCTCCAACAAGCAGCTACGACCCCCCTTTGACTGGATGAAGAAAGCGTCCTACACAACAAGCATACCTACTGCAGGTAAGGCATAGATTCTCATTTTACTTTGTAAATAGTGTTTACCTCTTAAAAGTCTTCTTTGATATTTTTTGTTGATACAAACAGGAATATTATGAGGTTCAGGAATAAAAAAAAAATTTAAAAGAATATTTATAGGATAACAATTATAATTAACATATTTTTCGTTCGAAAATGTTTTTACCTGATGAAGTTTTTATTATATGCATAAAGTTGATTGCTATATTTACAAAGTATCTATATGCGTTGCTGTGGCTGAAATTGGAAACAATGCTTATCTCCAAGATAATGGACGGTAATTATATCTGTCTATCTATTTTTGATAAATCAATAACGATTTATAGTTTTAATCGGATCACAAGAGGCATTAAACCATACAAACTTGTGACAATATTTCTGTTGTTTTAGATGAAATTTCTTTAAAAAATATTTATGCTTCCTAAAAGGAACTATTTTGAAATTCAATTTTGAGAGTTTAAATTGTAAAATCCATTTTTTCTTAATGTAATATTAATTTTCTAAAATATTTTAAAATATCTATCATCAATCGCTGTACTTTCAAAATACATCAGTACTTTCCTTAATCATAGTAGATTGATATATGGTATCTTAGAAAGATGGAGTATAATGTGTCTAGGGGCATTTTATTAACATCAAAAATAATACACGGGGATGTGATTTTCCAATCTTCGGTGTGATCTTTGAACGGTCACTTGTGATTTCTTGTGGTCAGTCCCGGTAATTCCGGATAATCTAACACTGACCATTGACCACCCTCGACCACCCGTTACCTGTAATACAGGTGAGACATACTCTTAATTGGTTTTGACAACGATGGTTTTGTTATAACAATTGAATCCTGGAATATAACAAATACGTGTAGATAATACCTAGTCTTTTTCGTACCCTAACAAAAGTGACATAACGGCCGTGTTTGAGATCTTCGTACCTATTCAAGAAGGATTGATTTCCAATCTAGTTTTGTCGCTCCGGCCATTGGTCACAATAGATTGACCAGAGATCACAGACACCTACACCCAGACGTTAATTTGTTAGGCTAATTCACACTGACCATCACAGCCATTGTCAAATCAACACCGATTTCGGGTAAATCTCCCCAAAATCCTATTACCTATACATTGAGTAATTGAATTCAAATACACAAGAATTTTCTCCCGAAAACACGCTAGAGAGAATACGTCTATAATTTCTCTTGAACTAACATGTTGGAACTAAACAGAAATTCTGTGTTTATTAATGATGAAGACCAAGTCAACAAAAATGTCTTTGAAATCTATTAATATACATTTCTTTAATACATAAATAAATAGAAAAATAAATAAATAAATATTTTACCTACTTTCATGAAAGTGACATTACATGTTCATTGCAAACGTTATAATATGGATTGGGCTAAAGTTTTTCTAACTTATAATGTCTATGATTCCTTCGTATATAAATAAATCAACTTAATTTGGTTAAGGACTTTTTATGGATAGAAATAATTACAATGATTGTAGAGGACTATAGTTGGTGGTTGTAAATTTTAAGAGCCAGTACAGCGCCGGGATAATAAACCGTAACGGTTTTACAACGCCGGTGATAGATTTATAAACAAACACATCCTTGATAAAGTAACAAGCAATTATCATAGCACTTAACTGTGCATAAAAATCCCAACATTATCTGATTTTATTTTGAAGTAAATTCAACAGTTTCACATGCATGTATAATGTATATAACGTCTAATGATGGTGTTACGAGATTTTGAGTTACAGCACGCTACGTGGATGACGAAGCGCAAAACAAGTTTAAATTAATCATTGTATATACACAACAATAGACAGGCTTTCTAAAAGTTAATTAATACATTATTCAGGCAAAAAAAATATGATATAAATCATGTATAATTATTAGTTTGAACCATATTTTATTTTAGAATGATATATGCAAACTCGCATACATACATATAAAAAATTGATACAGGATTCAGGAAAATACAGTATAATTAGTATGTGGACTTTAACAAGTTATAAATAGTTTGTTTTATTCCGTTGGTATCGGCGTATTAACTAGACTTAAGCGCAAACACATACATCTTGTTGCAGTATTTAAATAAATACAAATTCAATCTTTCTAACGTGAAAAATCAGCAATAATTAGTAGAAAAAGGGATACAGGACGTGTTAGAAAGTACAGTTACCGGAGGGTCACCTAGTAATAAATTAGGCTAAGCTTTAATTAATTGGTCACTTTATCTATCGAAATTGAATTCCAATTCTACACGAATGTGCGAAGTATCAATATCTGGGAGTTATTAAACACCAGCCTTGACAAAGACAGCTGCGGACGGTATCAGAATATAGCTTTTCAAATATCGGCTGTGTTTTCAATGGGGATCTAATCGAGATAACAGGGCTCTCATACTCGTGAACTCGACAAAATAAATCAAAGCGAGGATTTAACAGAAATGTGGAATCGCCGTTTAACGGCTATTTTCGTTTCGTCGCTGATGAATAGCCGAGACCCATCAATCTCGCTCCCGGATTAGTACTCGTGATAGGGGATGCGATTTATCCGCGGCTGTTGAAATAATAGTAGGAAAAACTCCCCGTTTAAAATCCTCAGATTGTGCACTAGGTACATTGGTATAGAAATTGTCTTTTGACGTATCTTTAAAACTTCTCTGATCTGTCTGGGCGTATTCATGACAAAGATTATACAGATGTATGTTATGGGTTTGGTTCTTATCTGGGTAGAACAATGCTCAGATCCGACTGAGAATGCTACGGTGGGGGTGTCGGATCTAATGTTATCCCCCGGATTGGGAGGGGGGACTAGAGGTGTCGGAACTTCAATAGGAACGCGATATATATAGCTATTCAGATGAAAAAAGAGAAACTTGATGAAAGTTAAGAATACATATCTAGACAAAGCTGTTAGGAATATTGCTTACATTTCTTTTTCTGTTTTATCAGCAGTAATCTTATAAGTAAACGGTTACTGTCACGTGTTTTTGAAATAAAATTTAATTCACAGTTTAAATATTTTATTACCATTGCGCATTACTGTAATGACGTCAATGAATCGCATTTGAATTCAGGCTTTCCTCAAATTTAAGTCAAAACAGTTCATTGAACATTTTAGAAGTACTTTCTATGCGTGCCAGTTCGATTATCCAAACGTGATACATACACACATACGAATGTGCTATGACTGATCGTATAGGCGTTGTAATACCGTAACATATGGTATTGTTGACCGCCATCCAGGTCTAGCGAGATTCAGGGCTTTTGTAAACCAATGGCTTCCATTTTGTGTGTATTATGGAATACAGATACGATGTAAATCCCTTTAAGAACTTGAAATTTGCTGTGTAATAAATAAAACAAAAATATGACAAACATCTTTATTGATAATTTCCTATTCAATGTGTAGATCCATTCGACATATTACTTATATTCCGGAAACGCGTATTATGCAAAAACCGGTTCCGGATTAGAGCCCTTCCGGAGTCGGTTTAGACAACTATACACCTACGATGGGAAAACCACAAGACATCAAATTCCACCGAGTAATCAAAGAGGATCGTTTCCCACCGCTGCCACCTACCGCGAAGTCCGTTTAATTAGGATTTACCGCTGATCGTCCACTGAAGTTAGACAGCGGTGCAAATTGTCCGTGCCAAATTTCGGCCATTTTTACGTAAGAAGTAACTCTAAATACCGTGGGATGAGCAAGGAACCACACATATCGAGTTTTCAACAAATCTTTAAATAATTGAAGTCGGTGTTTCAAACGATGATGTAGATCTCCCTTGTCTGTAAAATGCGTTTGAGCTTAATCAATAAAGTTTAAATAATAAAGGGAGAAAATGGTATTTTGTGGTCACAAAGGAAATTCGTAAATCTTCGAAACAAATTTCTTGAACTCAAATCGTGCAAACGTCATAACAACATTGTGTCAGTGTAAATAAATGTTTAATGGGTAAAGTATGTCGTTTTAACACTTCCACTGATATAAAACTATTATATGTGATAATAGGACAACGTTTAGAATCGTTCGCCCAGTTTACACCTGACTCTCACCTGTATCCGCGACTCACGAGCGATCAGACAGGCGATAAGAACACACTACAGGTTGTATATCGGTAATTGCATTTAGTTCAGACCAATTTACACAATCGGTATCAATGGTCAGTTGATTATTCGGCCAATGTCCAGTGTTAATATTTTAAGGTTTTAATGTGAAGAACGGGCCGCGATCTTTATCGCTAACAAGTCTCGTGTCCCAATGGGACCCTAACACCAATTCTGCCGTAACTGGTCAGTTCACGAATGTCCGAGAAGACGCTCTCACCTGCTTGACCAGGTAGAAGCCAGTCTCGCAGGTCCGTACTTTTAATTAAAGCTTGCCCAAGGCACCGGAATATCGGAGATGGATCGCAGAATTGTCTATCACAGAACGGACAGAACACGCGTGGTAGACTTTCCGATCTTGCGCAATTGATGTCCACGTTTTAATCTCTAATATAGGGAGATAGGGTCAAGGCATTGTCTAGAAGTAATTACTTAGAGACGACTGGGCAACCGTTGTCTGGGTCAATCCGCGGTTCCAGTCTGTTAATATGAAGTCTCCCTATAATCTATTACATGATTAAACCAAATAAACACGAACTTAACATTTCTTATAAATACTACAAATCTACCACATGTAATTCTTCTTAGTTGAAGAGAATTATATAAATAAAAGAACAACAAACCCATGATAACGCTTCTTTTTCAACTAGTTTACAATACTGTTAAATATTCTTTGCACGGTATGTTATCTCTTAAACAGCTTTCATTATGTACATTATTTATCATTTGTATCATTTGGAGGAGACATTGATAAATTTGAAAATCATGAGCCAATTCTATATTGTAAAGTCTGATTACGCACCAAAACATGTAAAACTAAGAAAACTTTCGACAGATAAAAAGGAACGTATGTATATAGTTATGACCGTTCATCTAGAAAACAACACCATAATTGTTCTGTGTTACAAACGATTTCAGCATACCAGACAACTGAAAAAGCGTATGCGAACCTTGTACAAATTCAAATAGATAAAGTCTGATTACGCACCAAAACATGTAAAACTAAGAAAACTTTCGACAGATAAAAAGGAACGTATGTATATAGTTATGACCGTTCATCTAGAAAACAACACCATAATTGTTCTGTGTTACAAACGATTTCAGCATACCAGACAACTGAAAAAGCGTATGCGAACCTTGTACAAATTCAAATAGATAAAGTCTGATTACGCACCAAAACATGTAAAACTAAGAAAACTTTCGACAGATAAAAAGGAACGTATGTATATAGTTATGACCGTTCATCTAGAAAACAACACCATAATTGTTCTGTGTTACAAACGATTTCAGCATACCAGACAACTGAAAAAGCGTATGCGAACCTTGTACAAATTCAAATAGAATTCAACAAATGTGTATTTTTAGGAAAACACCCATTTATTCTGAAGGGGAATGCGACGGAGTGGTGATTTGAAGAGGGCAGCTGGTATTTTTTTTTTTTTTTATACCAAGCAGGCTGGGTTATTAGTTTACTAAAACATATATAAAAACGTTTTTACTATTTGACAGACCTTTATGCTTATGAGCCTCGTTTTATGTTTTTCAGGCAAGACACGAACCAAGGACAAATACCGCGTGGTGTACAGTGACCACCAGCGCCTGGAGCTGGAGAAAGAGTTCCACTACAGTCGGTACATCACCATCCGCCGGAAGTCCGAACTAGCCCAGACCCTGTCCCTTTCCGAACGCCAGGTCAAGATATGGTTCCAAAACCGTCGCGCAAAGGAGAGGAAGCAAAACAAGAAACGTGATGATGGCGGGAAAAATTCAACGGAAGTAGGTCTCCACAACGAGGCCATGGGTGACGTCCAAGGCATGTCACTTCCTCTGAATAGTATGCACATCAAGTCTGACCCCAGCGACGACTACTGCCAGACAACCACACACATACAAGACCAAGGTCAAGGTCACATGGTACACCCCACCTCGCCACTGCACGTGACAACCACAAGAGATACGTCACCATTGCACGTGCCCACAATAAAAATTGACCCCAGTGAACTTGTGACGCAGCATGCGTGATGACAACAGACTAATTATCAATCGTGCAATTTGTCTTTATTGACCCTTAGGATGAGCTAGTGAGGTAGACAATCACAAGTGAGCTAGACATTCACTAGTGAGCTAGATAGTCATACGTGAACTAGGCAACCGTATGTGAGCTAGACATTCACTAGTGAAAGAGACAATACTTAGTGAACTGACAGTGGTATGACACTTTGATTACGTCAGGGGTGAACCTGTACGGCGAGGGTTAATGGTGAATGCAGAATACTCGGTGTACATAAAGTTATAGCTAGGAATAATAATATATTACCGAACATATTATTTGTATATGACGTGAACCGTACGTGCTATGCACGCTATTTCGGTGACCTCAAACACCCACGGGACCTTGAACATGTGAATAAAGTACTATGTTATCAAACCGGAAGTGAAAAATGTGAATAAAGTACTATGTTATCAAAACCGGAAGTGATAGTTGTCATAAGAAGACACGCAAACATTTTCACGAATAATTGTAAATGATTGGGTGGTATTTACAGTAATATGTTTTTTTTTCTTAATTTGTTGATTATACAATAAACTCAATTATATGTGAAATATACTTTGATTCTGAGTCATCATTTATTTTTTAAAGAACCTATGTGAACTGAAGAAAACCTATAGTTAAGATATCGACAGTTTATTTTTAGTGAAGGTTGGAAGTTTAACCCTTTCACCCCTATGTAACTTAGTAGACTCTACCATGCATTGATCTGGATGAGTCCATTATGGTCTACAGTGGTGAAAGGGTTAACACTTGACTCTGTAATACGAATTGTATTTCGAATAAAACGCTATGAGATCATGTGGTATGTGCTCTAGGATACAGCTGACGGGTCAGAATTCCGATAAGAGTCTAAAGACATTGAAATACGATATATCAAAATCGCCGTTTCATGCTCTCAATCTTACATTTAAAAGTTAAAAAAACCCGCAACACAAGATAGACACATAAGGACAGTTTAACTTCTTGACTCCTGAACTTTCATAATAAACTATTCCAACCTTTAAGCTGGACGAGTTCAAATGTGTCTTCAGGGATGAATTAGTTAAAAAGCGAATATGAATATGTAAGAAATCTTAAGTTCGTCCCGCGGGAGTGTACATACGTTTTGTATGTAATTGATCATACACATTGGCTTGTACATTTGTATGTTGGTGTGAAGAACGAACTTCAACTAAATCGTTATCCTATTGCCCTCAATTTTATTTATATCGCTCAGAAAAAAGAAAAAAAAATGCAACCACAACAATTCAGTATATGGAAAAAAATGCCGAGAACTCAATTATTAGCAAGCGCTCTACAAAACTAGCCGATAGTTCAAAATTTTGATTTAAACGAGACCGGATCTATGTATGGAGTGTAATATTAATTGAGATAAAGACACAATCCAAGGGCGTGTATAGGATAACTGTCCACATTGTTTGCCAAGTTAAAAGGACTGGAGATTATTTTGGTGGTTATTTCCGATCAAACTCAATATAAACCATTGCAACTATGCAACACGTAATTGTTTTCAGTAATCAAATCTACATAACTCACGTTATGTACATAATACAATAGACGTGAACGCCTCTTTGAAGTTTTACGGTACATAAGAATAGGTGTTCAACATTACGGATATTGACAACTATAATCTGACGTTAAAGGGACTAAGGCCCAATTGTTTTAATTTTCCATTCATTTTTTATCATACATTTTCTCTCTCCAAAACCAAAAGGAATATACTTTCAGTATCACTATTAGAGTCAATTAAGGGAAAGAGTACCATTACATCATTAATAAACGCAAAGAAGAGTTCCACTCGGAGGTTTTTCGACATAGAGTATTCTCCCGTCTATATAGAAGATGGAGCAACATAAAAGCAGTTTTTCTGGCTTAGAAAAAGTTTTGCAGCCCATTAATTTGACACGTGGGCCCGTATTCTTGAAACTGTTCTCATGCTCAATCATGGATTCTGTGCTCAAACCTAATTCCTTGTAACTCACTTAAATCATGTCAAACGATCAAAATGTCAAACGTAAACATTGAAAACAGTATTTGGCTTTAAGCCTTTTCCATTTATTTTTTTTCCAAATTATTTACAAAATACGATTATATTATTAAATTTATTAAAGAAATTCGACTTGAGCACAAAATCCATGCTTGAGCATGAGAACGGTTTCATGAATACGGTCCCAGTTTTGATGTTATGCGGTTATAATTCCTAGAATTGATCAAGCGTAGAGTTTGTAATGTTATGGTCCCGAGGTCGACCCTTTGTGCTTTTGTGTTTTCTTTCTTATTTCTAATTTGAAAAATTCTTTTGAACAATTATATTTTTGTAAATATGTTAATTTTAGGGAACATTTCTTATCAAAAAGTCCCCATTAATAAATATCACAGTCGTGACAATGGTATAGTATATATAGTATAGTATAGTTTAACCTAATGGGTCCGTTTACCTCATTGTTATTTCGAAACCAAATATGAGTTTTAAAGATATTCTTCTTCTTCCTTTATATCACAGAACGCCATCAGGCGTATTATCGTACTTAATTCGGAATGTTTCCAAAATCACCGACTGAAAATGACCTGGTTCCAGTTTCTAATACATTTTTTAACTTATCATCACCATCATCATCATCATCATCATCATCATCACCACCTCATCACCCCATCACCACCTCATCACATCACAACCTCATCACATCTTCCATCACCTCATATCATCATTACCTCATATCATCATCATCATCATCATCATCATCACCATCATCATCATCATCGGAACATAGCCCTCTTAGCTGTAATAAAAACAAGGTGGGCGGAGGCTCACATAGATATGTCCCTATCCCCCGCGATACCCGTGACCGTTGACCATTTGACCTTGACTGATGACGAACAAAATCTAATCATCTATAGAACTCAAAGTTACCGTAGTGTGGTGTAAATAGGAACTAAATTTGTTCAGGGGTTCATGAGATGTCTTGTGCACAAGGTTTTTGCTATGGACGGTAACACGGGACGCTGTGAATATTAATTTTGTCCTAGTGTTTGACGCTAGCTTTAAGTGAATATAAATAATAATTTAACCTAGTGTGTTGACGCCAGGGTTTATTCACTATGATAAATACTTTTATTCTAGTGTATTGACACTAACTCATTAGGAAAAATACTTTTGTCCTAGTGTATTGTCATAAGGGTTAAGTCACTACAATAGATAATATAAATAATAATTTTATCCTAGTGTTTGACGCTAGCGCTAAGTCACTATAAATAATAATTTTATCCTAGTGTATTGACACTAGGGTTAACTCGATATGTATAATTATTTTGTCCTTGTGTATTTACACTAACTCACTATGAATAATAATTGTTTCCTGGCGTGTTGCAGCTAGGACAAACGTACTATGATTTATAGAATTGCCACTGTGTGTTAACGCTAGTGTAAACTGAACATAAATAATAGTTTTGCATAATTTACTCCGAAATATAAATTGTTCTTTGGAAGTTGAAGTTATGGTAAACATCTAGTTTAATATTTTGACGAAACATATTAATATTCACTCTAACAGTAAAACAAACGGATCAGTTTTATTTCTCTCTCGTCATTTCAAAAATAACCAGCATCGTGCTATTTCGGTTTTTAGTAACTTACCGGATATGCACTTTCAGAATGGTTCAAACAGTCACCTCATATCGCGCAGAGGGGTTAAATTTCAACACAGACAGGGTTAATATACGTTATATGTACCTATGAAAATAATGACTCCATATGCGCCATCTGAATATATTTATAAACGTTTATATTGAACTTGTGTTAAATGATATAGCAGATATAAAAATGAATACAACAGCCAAATGGGGATTAAAATACGTTAATATATCGCATGCAAAGCGTTGGTTTTAATGGTTATATGCCTCAAATGCTATTATAATCCTTAAATTTATTTCTAAAATTTTCTTAAATTGGCGTTTAGCATAACGCGGGAATGCTTGTTATGCTTATAACTTAATATTGTAAACACAAGTTTTCCCAATAATATTTGTTGATATCCAAATAGTATAAAGATAATTATATTGGACTAGATTTAACGAACATGCATTTGAAAGATATCGGAACAAAACGTCATTTTGTTCTGTTCATTACTTTCATATTGTTTTTTTTTTATTTAAAAGTTGCTATGAGCATGAATGGTCAATGATTTTCTGCAGATTTCATCCCCAAGGCTACATTCGTAACATTGGTAAACAATGCTTCTTTGTATCTGCAATTATAAAGACAAACAAACATTTAAGTGATGGAAGTCCCAACCGCTCAATCACTATGTGTGAATATACTGTCCTCACCGTACAATTTTACAACTTTGCATCCAATGTCACAACCGTACACAGTCGTAAGTTACGGAGTGTCCGAACCGCACAAATATAAACTAGGTCACCTCTCTAAAATGCATACTTCTACTTGTTTATGGGATATTTTGCAACCAGTTTAGATTATTATTAATCTTTGAAGGCTTCTTAACCTAAATCATTGGTCTATAAATAATCAGAATTAATTTTTGAATTCGTTTTTTGAGTAAATTCAAACTCGTCGTCGACTGAACATCCCGATTGCCGGCTCCCGTTACCTTGCATTTCTGGAGTGGAATTTTAGCATAAGCATTTTATAACACTCTGATCTATTATCTATGGCTTCAGTGCATCCGTTGATCGTTAAAAAGTTTTCAAGTAGAAGAAATCGAACATGTTCTGAGAAATCACCTTCTTGTTTTGGAAGCCGCCATCTTTCAAACAGTCCAATTTTTTTTCAACCTACAGTCTACACTACAGTGTATGTACAATAATATGAAATAATAGAAAATTTCCATCATTCATTAGGTGTAACATTTTTTCTATTGTTGTCATAAAACATGAACAATGTTTTTAAATATACATGATGGCAAAATGATTATTGATGTTGGAGAAAGATTTGGAGCGCTAGGAATGAGAGAGCGTGAAACAGCGAGAGGGAGAAGTGCCAAGGCAAGATGGATACAAGGTCCTTTGTTTATAATACATATAAAGACTAAACAAAAATGAGATCGTGTGAGCGTCCTTTCCGTGAACAGAAATCCTCGAGGTCACAGGGGTTACGCCCACTTATTAATAATGTACTGTGCAGAAATTTCGAGGATGCAAAACGGACGGCACACGTCATAGCTGTTTACCGTTTCAAAATATCATTTGTGCAATTTACTGTTTATCACTTATGGTAAAACTTCTGTTGTACTATAACTTGTTAGGCGGAATGGTATGTCTATATTGGGTTTTTTTTCTATGAAGAACAAATATAGATATAACAAATTCCACGAGCTCTTATAATTCATACAATTTATGAAGTAAACATATATAAACTACATGTATCTGTTTGTCTTTTAGGTTGTCACCTTTTAGACACGAAAAAGTCACATATTTTAAAATTCAGTTCACACGTTTATTTATTTAAACAGTGGTATTCGGGGCAGCCAAAAATATGACAAGAGACATTTATAAGATATAACCATACTGATTTACAA